TACCGGCGGTTTTTCGGTGAAGAGAAGTTGTGAGTGATTTTGGTTTCAAGTTCTTTAGAAGGTGAAGATTGGGTTGAATGATTAGCGGCGGAGATTTACGGTGGCATCGCAAAACGGAAGTGAGGAAGTGAATGGGTTTGATTCACTGTGTAATGAAGTTGGTTTGTTTGAATGTTATCAGAAATCGTTGAAATAGAAGTTTGTAATGGTGAAGAAGATTTGGAGATGATGAATGTTTGGAGGTAAACGAAGAAGATGAAGTATGAATTTCTGAAGGTGATGAAGCTGATAATGAGAGGTTATTGAGGAAGAAGAAGATGAAAGGGTGAAGGAGACTGGTTCGTGTGGACGGCGGCTGTGAAGAGTTGTTGGTATGTCTGCGGCTAGGGTTAGTGTCCCTTTTATCCACAACAACCCACTGCCTCTCTCTCTCTCGAAGGCTTGCCATCAGAAAACAAAGTGACAATAGTTTAAGATTATGAAGACAGAAAAGACAATGGAATACTTACAGAGCTGGAGCGAATCCGACAGGTTCTCGCGCTAGTGATGAGGAGCTTGGATGATGCAAAGCTTCTTGTTGAACCGATACCACCAGATTGTCAATGCTGAAAGCAGATAAGCTCCTTCTTCAATCTCTCTTTTTTTTTTAGCTCTTTATGATGAAGGTGAGTTGTGAGAGAAGGCAGCTGTTTTTTCAGAATTTTTCTCCTCTCCAAACATTAAGCCTTTATAGTGAAGTCAATTAGGTTTAGCAGACCAACTCTTGAGGCTCTGAAATCCTCTGCACCTTAGGTTTTAGGTTTGGTCTGCTACTAATCTGTCCTATTACCATTTTTGTGCTAAGACTGTGGTGCTGTAATTGCCTACTGCTGCTCTGTATTTGCCATTTTCGTGAATGTGCCTCTGCTGTCTTATTTTCATGTCCCTGAATTTGTTCATTTAAATTGAAAACATCTGATATATTTTTTACCCTGAATTTTTACTGCTTCATTTGTGATTTTTTACTGCTTTGACTTATGCTGATGGGGCAACTTTGTTGACTTCAAATGCAATCTGACTTTGGCCTTTTTACTTTCAAATATCCACTAAACTTGACATGCTTGTCATATTTTGCAGGGAATTACCTCAAATGACAATTCTGATACAAAGACCAGCCGACCAGCCAAGATGCATTATCTCTAACTTCAGATTGTTGGCTAACATCTTCAGAATCTGATGTGGTTGAGGATTCTTGATTTACACGGTTTGATGACATAATTATTGTCACCCTCACTTAGACATGATGAGCAGCTGTCAGAACTAAAAGTGCTACTTTGGGTAGGATCAGAAGAATTGTTCAAGACAGAGCCTCCAGTTGCGCATATTCCAGATTCCTCGGAAACAATTTCCTTAGAGCTACAAGAATCTTCAACCTGAAAATTATTTTGACAGTCTGCATCCGTTCTACTTAAATGCTTTGAACTACAGTCTGAATTACTATGGTGAAATTTCTTCAGAGACTCCGTAGGCTCCCAAACCTTTTTTAATTGAAACAAATCCCTGCTGGAATAATTCCCCAAAATGATTTTGCTTTTGTTTCTTCCATTATTCTTATGCATATGGTCTACTTGATTATACTTACTACCCTGATAAAAGTTCTTAGCAGGTTCGTATTGACTGGCAGGTTTTGACTCCCGACTAACTCTTGTCACAGGAGAATGTTGGTCAACTCTCATCTTATATTCACTATTTGGACTACAGCTGCAAGAATGAATATCACATCTGTCATTCATCCGGTTCTTGGAATTGTAAAATTTATCGCCATACTTCGGACTAACATTTCGACCATTGGACTTTGCAGGAACATTTATCCTGGATTGCCTATTCAATCCATTAACTACCCTCGATGAAGTCAACTGACTCTCTCCATAATGTCTTGATTCAGTTTTACCAACCATCCCACCATTGTCAGAAACAGTGGCATACTGGCGCCTTCCAGACCACTTGATAGGCATATCATCCTGTGGAAATTCTTTCCTGTATCTCAGTCTTTGATGAGAAAGCATTGTTTGTTCAACCGTAGACTGCTGACCTGTCTCGTCGTTTGGAACGATTACATTCTCTGGTTTTCTAATAAGCTCCTTCAGAATGGAATGTAGAGCCAATCGTAGCTCCTTGAACAAGACAGCTATTTGGGCAGGTGCATTCAATTTTAACCATCCATCGATGATGACCAGTCCAGTCTGATGCTGAACATTGATTGACCCTCCAAAGAGCAAAATTGAGTATGGAGAAATGACTGAAGTATCTCTTAGAAATATTTTGTTCGTTTCAACCTTTTCAAGGAAGACAAGAAAAGGATGCTTGAATACTTTTGTGTTACTGTTGATAGAAGATGGGTGGAGATGAACTTCTCTTCTTCCATCAAACCAGAATGTACGACTAGAATTCACAGAGCTAGGAGACCGCTTAAGGCTGCTGAGAGCAGTTGCAACAATACCTTGTTCACCAGCTGCTACATTAGGGTATAAACCTGTCAAGACCTATCCTTTTGCCATCCACCTGATTAAATTTTGGAAGAGTAATGAGACCAATGTCTGCTAGCAAAGTTCCAAACTGTATCCTCATCTCCCTTATCATAAACATTACTGGGCTGCTCAGAAAATATGAATTGCAGAATTGCTGTGCAGCTTTACCTCCTTTCTCATTCAAAATAGTCTCCCATCTTTTGTAAGCTATCATCATAAGTAAATGATCAGATTGCTTATCAATATCATTTACATCACCAGGCCCATCTTGCTTTTCATTCAACAATATTTGTTTTGCTCTTTCAACATTCTGCCTCTCATCCTTAGGATACACAAATGGAGACTTGTAACTTAAAAATGCGGAAACTGAAAGAATAGGTGACAAGCAACCAAAGATTGCACCATACACCATCATCTTCCCAATTAGTACATCAACAGGTAGTTTTGCCAGATGATGCCCAAGAGGTGTCAACTCTTCATCCCCCTCAAGAGCACCGACCTCATACAATAAAGACATTGCCGATTCAATTGCTTCAATTTTCGGAGGTTCTAAAGCCATAGACAAAAATGATTTGATATATCCAAGACATAGTAACTTAATCTGCAGACACAATTCAACTAATGGCATTCGAAGCATCTCTGGGACCTGATAAGGACGCATGAGTTTTTCAAATCTATAACGAGTGTACAAGCGAAAGCAAATTCCAGGTTTCACACGTCCAGCTCTACCCTGACGCTGCCTTGCATTTGCTTGAGAAATCCAATCTTCAACCATGCTAGACAATTTCTTCTGTGGATTATAACGATTCTCCTTATGTTTTCCACAGTCAATTACATATATCATATCATCTATTGTTATGCTGGTCTCTGCTATATTTGTTGCTATAACAACCTTGCGTATATTTCCTGGAGGGCGTAAAAAAACCTTTTTCTGTTCAGTTGACGCAACAGATGAATGCAAGGGAATAATCCAATCAGAAGATGGCCCACCAAACTGGTACGACGCTGCTAACTTATCATGTAAGTGGTTTATCTCAAACACTCCCGGTACGAAGACAAGGATGGCACCCTCACCACAACTTTCATCAACGTAACATATCAGATCTTCAATAAGATCATAATCAATGACATCCTCATTCACTTTTTTCAGATTTTTTTGGGCTTGTTCACTGAATGACTGATAATAACTGGGAACAAAATATGGATTAAAATGCTCCTCAGAGAGCAAAGACTCATCACCCCATGCAGATAAGACTAGATTCTTCTTCCCTCTGTTGTTTGTCACAGACGCTCTCTGCAAGTTCTGTTCTTTAGAAAATGTTTCATTTGCTAAAGAAGCTGGTGAATCTGAAGCCAGTCTATAATTAATCTGATCATATATCCTCAAGAAAGTATGTTGTCACTGGATGAGTCCTGCCTTCTGCAGTAACCACAGGGCAATGACCGAAGTATTTTGAAAATGAACTTGAATCAACAGTTGCTGACATTAGAATGACTTTGACTTTTGAAGAGCCTTCACTGGACTGCCTCTCAATTAGATTCTTCAACACAATTAGAATAAAATCACCCAATAAAGATCTCTCATGAACTTTATCAACTATGATATGAGTAATACCCGTCGAGCTTCGATTCCCCATCAATTTTCTCAGAAGGATGCCTGTTGTACAGAACAGAAGCCTTGTTTTCTCATTCCTGGCACTATCAAGACGAACTTGATAACCAATCAAGGAGCCATCAGAACCTGGTGAAGGTTCACACCGCTCATCAGCTACCCTTTCAGCCACAGAAATAGCCGCTATTCTCCTTGGTTGAGTGCAAATAATATTACACTGTCCACCATGTCCTGACTCAATCATCTCATCCAATATGAATTGTGGAACCTGAGTTGTTTTTCCAGAGCCTGTTTCCCCACAAACAACAAGAACATCATTTTCCTTTAGCATTTGCAATATATCACCCTTAAGTGTGGCAATAGGAAGTGTAGCTCTAAAATTCAACATATCCTGGTATCTTTGCGACTCCATTTTAGTGTATTGCACCATGACCTTGATAACATGGTAGATCCTTTTCTTGCTGATGAATTAAGTCAAACCTGGACTTCGACATACACTTCACTCATTCCTACTTAATGAACCCCAACCAAAACCTATCCAATTCGGCTCAATCTTATGATGGAAGCAACATATATTTTTTATTTTTCTGCCCCTGACAATCACATATGCTTATCTATTTGTCTTCAAGGACCTTGACTTGTCTTTGATAAGGGTAACCACTTGGTGACTTGAATATAACCTCCTTGATCAGGTTAAAAACCATTGGTAATTTTTTGTTAGACATACATTTCTTGATCCCCTGTGAAATGCAAAATGCTATGCAATGCAATGCTTACGTATGTGCTGATGCAATGAAATAAAACATAAGCCAGAGAGGTCGGTCAAATTTTGGGGTACAACACATACCTTTAAAAAATCATTCCCAACTTCCTAACTTCACATGGATCCTTCTAATCCTTCCCATCTTGGAAAAATGTTCATGGATTTTATGAATGACGGCATGGATGAAGAACTTGTGAAGCTCTACTTTGAAAGTCACGCGCAAGAAGAATGTGAGAGCTCAAGTAGGCCTAGACGCCAAAGAAGGAATATAGAGAGGAATTGTGTAGAAGGACATGAGCGGTTGTTCAATGATTACTTCTCAAAAACTCCAGTGTACACGGATGCGCAATTTAGTAGAAGGTATCGAATGCATAAACATGTATTCCTTCGCATCGTTGAAGCTCTTGGTCAACATGATGAGTATTTTTAGTTGAAGATTGATGCAACCGGTAGATCAAGTCTTTCGCTGCTACAAAAATGCACTGTTGTTATTCGTATGTTGGCATATGGAACATCAGCTGATAGTGTAGATGACTATTTAAGAATCGGTGAAACCACGACACTAAAATGTGTTGATAAGTTTACAAGGGGTGTGATTAGTTTATTTGGGTCAAAATATTTGTGAAAGCCAACAACTGAAGACATTGAACGCTTGTTACAAATGGGGGAGGCACGTGGCTTTCCAGGTATGTTGGGGAGTATTGATTGTATACATTGGGAATGGAAAAATTGCCCAGTTTCATTAAAAGGGCAATATGTTTGAGGTGATCATGGTAAACCCACGGTTATGCTTGAAGCAGTTGCTTCACAAGATTTATGGATTTGGCATGCTTTCTTTGGGGTAGCGGGTTCAAACAATGATATCAATGTGTTGAACCAGTCAGATGTCTTCAACGATGTTATGAAGGAAAATTGCGATCTAAACGCAGCGGAAAACAAAATTTTCCTTTAGTGATCCTTACGAATGAGCATGGTCAGTGATAGAATCGTTACCTCTTTGTGGCGATTCAGATCTTTGATGCAGCGATCACAAGCGTTGATGAAGTGCAACGCCTCTACTCAGTCCACACGAACAGCTTTCGGTCACAGTGCTAGCTGCTTACGAACGGAATTATTTGAGTGAGAAAAGAGAATCAAAAACGAAATTGCATCAAGTGAAAGCTTCATCACAAGGGTTCCTTTTATAGACTCTCTTGTGGGCTGCGGGCTAAAACCCAATTCACATGATCCATAATAATATTATATATATTATTATAATAACTATTATTATAATAAATATATTTATTTTATTATTATTTTATAACCATTATAAAATAACAATAATTATTATTATATTATCCGAATTTCTATTTTTCACTTAAGTGCACCGTACCTTACGGTGTTCCTTTGATTTCTCTATCTCTCATCAAACTGTCCTTATGTGTGTGACCCTGTAGGATTTCGTAACGTTGGTAATTATATTAAATTATATATTTAACATAATAAACAGTAAGCGGTATCTAGCAACACATCACTGCTACCCAAGTCACGAAAATGTCATGTGATCTGACAAAACCTTTTTCGTGATAATATATGTTTGTACAATTACCCTTTTGCCCCTATGTCTATATTGAACACAAGGCATACACTGTGTCATCCTTGTCCAGTTCAATATTGGGCCCTTAGACATTTCTCCTGTTATGCAGGATTGGCAAATTCCATCTAGGACACTCATGTCCCTCAGCATGCTTCGTGGAGTGCCCATCAACTGTCTTTATGATCATTCAGTTACGGATAATGTTTGATCAGCAATAAAGCACCCGACTCTACATCTAGGGTCCATAGTGGTTTCAGGTCGAAGGGTGGTAATACACCATTATCACCATGAGAATAACTTATGACACTTTGCATAACATACTATGTAGTATTCTCATAGCGGGTCAATCCGGTATAAATATTACTCCTAATATTTATACCTATGTCAAGACTTGATAACTCTTTATCCATGATCCATGAGATGTGATCATCAGTCTATCTTCATAATAGTCTCAATGCTTTTAATGTTATCCCACTTTGCAATAAAGCTTGACTACGGATATTTTAAGAATAATGTCTTTATGTTTAATGGGATCTCATGATTAAGTCACACTTAACATTTCATTAAACAGACTAACTATTCTAGAGACTTTATTATTCTGAAAGACAAACATAATAAAGAAATGCCTTTTATTATTAAACGAATAATCCGATACAAGTACCAAAAAGTATTGGCTTCTAGGGCTTACACCAACATGTTATGCAAGGGAGAACTCTCGAGGTCCATTATTCAGTCAATCGACATGAATACAACATGGATTATTATCTATCAGATGGCATTTATCCTGAATGGGCTACATTTGTGAAAAGCATCCCAATGCCACAGGGGGATAAGAGAAAATTGTTTGCTCAACATCAAGAAGGTGCAAGAAAGGATATCAAACGAGCATTCGGAGTTCTACAATCCCGTTTTGCGATCATACGTAACCCGACTCAATCTTGGCACTTGGATGCACTAAAATGTATAATGAACACGTGCATCATATTGCACAACATGATTGTTGAAGATGAACGTGCCACCTGATAACGCGAAATCATATCGTTTATTTGGCTTGATTTACATGCATTTATTTGTGACTTTTATTAATTTATCTTGATTTATGTTCTATTATATGATTAATTTACTTTGTTTTGCAGATTGGGGAGAATTTGGACTAAAGAAAGAAAAGGAGAAGAAACAGATGAAAAACAGATGAAAAATAGATGAAAAACAGCAGATACGGATTCTGCTGCTGTGACGACCGTCACAGGTCCATGACGACCGTCATGCGTGTGACGACCGTCACATTTCATGACGACCGTCACGCAGACAAAAAACGCAGAATCAGAATTCACGATCAATCTCAACTTAAATCCTTCCTACACTTTCTCCACTCACTGCCCACTACTGGAAGTTACTACACTTTCTCCACTCACTGCCCACTACTGGAAGTTACTACCACTTTCTCCATATCTCACGCATGATCTCAGGAAGTTGAGATAAGAAACATCTCCTATAAATAGACAAGAGACTCACAGAGAAAGGGGTGGATTCTTCATCCCGAAGTTCTGCCAAAGTTCCATCAAAGTTATTTATCGTTACTTTTATTTTCCTTTCCATTTTCCTTCAGTTCAGAATATTGTATTTTCTTCCTGTACCTTTTATTTCTCGCCAAAGTAGAATCCTGCCGACATTGTGGGGGACTACCCAAGGATTAGAGATCAGTACAATTTACAGGTTTTTATTAATTGAATTACTACTTTATTTCTGTTATGATGCACGCTTTATTATTCCGTTGTTTATGTCTATTTCCGCTCGCATTAATTATCATGTCTGGCTAAGTTAGTTTTATCGGTATGTAACCGAATTAGTAGGATAGGATTCGATAGTAACCGGCATCTTCCCTTTTTACAAACAACCTTTCTGGCCGTAGTGTTTAAATTTAATTACTGAATAAACTTCGTCGTGAAAGCGAGAACTTATTTAAAAGTAGTTTTGCCACGAAAGTGGGAAATTAATTAAGGTACGAACCAACAAGCGAAAGCTGCGGCAAGACCAGATAGTAAACACTAGGCATTTGTTTTAATAACAGCGAAAGCACTTTAAAATGGATTAGAACCTAGAGATTTCCAAAAAGTAGTTTTAACCCCGAATGGGACAGCGAAAGCGTACATTCGGCCCTTAGAATTATGACTAGCGTCAACAACCATCGTGAGACGAAAGTCTTCAGATCACTATTTTCTTCTGAACAATGTTTGCAAAGAGTAAGAAGCATCGGTGACCTGTCGAATCCCAGATAACTAAGTCTTTGCATACCGATATCCTTTACCGCATTTCTCTAAACCAATTTTCTTTATTTCTTTTGCATTTAATTTCATTCGCATTCAATTTTCCTAATTCCAATAGCCTTAGCTTTACGCCGTAATAATAGATAACGGTAGATTGACATTGGTCTCTGTGGGTTCGAGAATCTTTTATATTACTTCGATATTTCCGTGCACTTGCGGAGCGATCAAGTTTTTGGCGCCGTTGCCGGGGACCAACAGTCAATATTGTGATTCCGTTGTTGCATAGTATAGACTAAGGCACTCTTATCTAAATCATTATGTATAACCCATATTTCCCTTATAACTACCACCCTCCATATTATAACTACCACCCCCAATATTTCGAGGAACCACAAATTCCGCTTAAATCCGACCTCGAAATATTATTAGAAGATTTCAATACTACGCACTCTCACCCAAATTCCCTCTATGATGACGACTCTCAATGTTTTGAGGAAACGCAAGATTTTGATACATCCAACCTCGAACTACTACTAGAAGAATTCAATGAGACGTCTACTCACTCTAGGATAGAATCTATGATGGAGCGCTTTGTGGAAACACAAACTCTCCAAAACGAAGATTTTAGAAAACAACATCTCCAAATTAATGAAGACCTTAGGCAGATGAATGTTATTGTCGATTCCCTCGCAACTCACAGCGAGACTTTGGAGACTCAAACCTCCCTGCTTAGACAAACACCTCTAGGACCCTTCCGAGAAGGACATGTGAATGTTGTAACAACCGTTAATGAAGAACAAATAGAAGATCCTAGGGAGATTGATGATGAGCCTGAGGAGAGTTTTGGTGAGAAAAGCATACATATTGAGAAAAATCCACCGACACCAACCGAAAGGGAGGTTGTCGAAGAGGTAGAGAAGGAAGCACATATCGTTGCTCCTCCTCCCTATACCCCACCTATTTCTTTCCCACAAAGGTTTGCAGAAGTTAAGGTAGACTCCCAATCCAAAACATGTGTGGAGGTATTGAAAAATATACACACCAATGCACCTTTGTCTAAGGCCCTTCATAGAAAAAGAAAATTCGAGGACCGTGAAACTAGGGTCATTATTACTGTTAAAAGGGTACGATTAACTTTTGAGGTGGTGGATGAAATAACAAAGCCCAAATTTGAAAAGCTGATACGTAGAATAGATCCAGAACCACCACCACGCGTTCAAAACAAGAAACCACCCTACAGAAGAAAGAAACGAAAAGGTGAGGGATATGAGAGATGGCTTGATAAGTGGCCATGGAAACCGAAGACTATTCAAAGTTCGATCGAGGAACCAGTCTCGAAAGAACCACCATGAGTACTTGCACTCCTTAGCCGTCGAGCTATCGACGTTAAACAAAGCGCTGTGTGGGAGGCAACCCACAAGGTCTTTATTTTAATTTGTTTTTTTAAATCGGCAGAAAATAAAGAAATGTATTGCTTGTTACGCTTTAGCTATATCTAGGCGAAAACTCTCTAGATGACGATCTGAGAAGATGAGCTATGCCCACAGACATTCCTACGAGTGTCGCTGCTGGTGGGAACACTAATGA